ATGGATTTGTGAATGGATGGGTAAATGGATAGTGGCCAGTACAAAACAAATTTTGAGAAGGTCCAGGTTGACTGTTGTTGCCAGTCATCAGAATTAAGAATTGTGTGCTTCAACTAGCAAACTGAGGATTTACAAATCTGAGAGAAATTAAAAGCTTTCTTTAAGGAAGAGGATGCTGACCCAGAACTCAAGTTTTGTCTAGTTCTGCTCAGACTTGTGTGTCTGGCTTGTACAAGCCACTTAACTACTGAGCCTCGGTTTCTCTATTAAGTAGAGATAATAATGCCTTGGCCTTTGCCTGTCTCCACAAGAGTGTCATGAGGGTAAATGGGATGGTGCACACAAAGTGTGTTGTGATCTGCAGGGAAGATATATGTTTATAAAGATATAAATATAATCACAATAATAACACCTTGCATTTGAATCAGGCTTTGGCCTTTTAAAGATCTTCCATACATATTATCTTGGTTGACTCTTTAAACAATTCTAGGCAGGTATTATCCCCATTCTCAAGTGAGGAAACGAAGGTGCAGCATGATTAAGTGGCGTGCCTGGGGTGACTCTTAGTAAGTGGCAAGTCTTCTGATTCTAAGCTGGCTGCACATTTTTGATGATAGCCTTCCTTGGGTAGATTATCTCTCTCTGCCTCCCTGAATAGGGAGCCAGACATAATTGACCCTCTTGTAATGACTCAAGGTCATTGCTATGAGCATCAGCTTCTGTGCTATCTCAAGACATAGTTCAGATGCAGATTCTAGAGTGAGCAGAAGCACAGGATAGGCCGTGACTACTTGGGAGGATTTCTCAGATGCCAGCAACCTTGTGCAACTTCCACCTCCGCCACCATTTTGGGCTGTGTGCCATTCATGCACGGGGGCTGTCTCCTCTGGTCTCTATTCTCCCTCTCACTTTTCTCTCCACTGTCAGCCTAGTTCTGTGCCTAGTTCAGTGGCTACCTCCACCTTCCATTCTCTGCTCTCTTTTTTTCTCTCTTCTTTGGCCTGTAACTTCTTCCATAATTTCAGTTTGTTGGGCCAAGCCCTGGTCCTTTGATCTGTCTAGCCAGCCAATCAGAGCGCTCCAATGAGCTTTGTGCTCCAAGCAAAGCAGCCAATCCAGATATTCAGAAAACTTCCTGATCCTACCCTGTTGTTGCTCTTCCCCACAAAGAAGGATGGGAGATTCTGGAGGCAGGGCCTGAGCCAAGCTTTTGCAGTAGTGCATTAGACAGCTTAGTCTAATTTGCGAAGGTTTCAGTTTGGGCTCTTGGGGTGTGAGGATGGTCAGGAAGGGCTGGCCAGCACACCTCAAGTTGACGCCCTCACTAATAAGGCAAGAAGTTGTGATTCCCCAGTGTTCATCTTTGCCTACACGGCAAAGCAGCCTCACGGGTCCTGCCGTCATCACTCTCTTTCCCTCCCTGCCGGGTGGCATCCCAAAGAGCCAGCCTGTTTCCATCCTGGGCACGCCTTGGGCAGCATGCCCATGGCCCATGGCGCTTCCCCAGGGACTCTGGGATGGGATGCTCTTTCTTGCAAGCTGCTGTGGGGCCTCCCACAGCCTGACTGGAGCACCTTGGCTTGTTCCCCCTGAGGGAGGATGTGATGGGTGTGCCCACAACAAGGCTCCTGCAGAGACAATAGGGCAGGAATGCATTCGCTTCCGAACAAACACTGTGTGGGCTCGCACAATTGCCTTGGATTCTGGTCCAAGAAACACATTTCTCTGTACTAGGGCGCCGGTGGCTTGCCTGCCCCAGCCCGCCCACATCTCTCTCTGGGCCAAAGATTCAGATGAGGGGCCGCCTGCCCCCAACCTCAGGCCTCCTGATCCTTTGTGAGGCCAGCCCTCCCTCCCACAGGGCACTTGCTCTGGCCATTGGCAATTTTTTTCATATAACCCAGCTTTTTGTGGTCCAATGCACACAACATAAAATGTATCTATATTTTAACCATCTTTAGGTATTCTTTTCTACAGCATGAAATCCATTTGTGTTACAGAGTAACCCTCTCTACCATCAATCTCCAGAACTTTTTCATTCTCCCAAACTGAAACTCTGTCCCCATGTCCCACCCGCAGCCCTTGGCAACCATCACCTACTTTCTGTCTCTATGAGTTTGACTTCTCTGCCTACTTTTCCTTTCAGCATAGGTAATATTGAAGGTTCATCTGTGTCAGAACTTCCTCCTTTTTTTAGGCTGAGTAATAGTCTATTAGAACAATTCATCCCTCGGTCAGCAGACACTTTCTGGCTGCTGTCAATCCCGCAGCTGTGAGCTAAGTGGACAAGTATTATTACATCTGTTCAAGTGGACACTCTTTTACAGGACTTACCTTTGTGTTAAATAATCATCTCTTAAAGATCCCAAGTAGAGCATACACAGATGAGAGAACTACTTGATCCCCTCAAAAAAAAAAGCAATAATCTCTTGAAGATCCCAAATAGAATACACATAGATCCTTGGTGCCCTCTACATACCAGCAGGATTGACTTATCCAAAAAGCAAGCTGTCCTTCGGGAACTGGAGCCCCAAAGAAATGGGGCACAGAAAGGCCAAGGGGGAAGAATGGAAAGGTTCTGCACTTGAACCACACTCCCAAAGGGCAAGTCCAAGAGGGAGTCCTGCAAAGCCACCAATGAGCAAGCAGCCTGTGGATCCTGGAAGAGGGCACTCAAAGCAGATCTGGGGAAAGGACTCCCCCGCCCCAGGGCCTGTATCAAGGGTTCCCTAGGTGAGACAGACCAACCAGCCTGTTATTTCACACAAAAAGTAGCAGGCAGGGACTTCCTAGTTGTTCACCCAGGGCCAGCAAGGTTCTGCCCACCATAGATTATGAGTCCACTCTGAATAATCAGCACCCAAAGGCCAATTTTGCATTGTAAGCTACAGATCCCCTCCACATAGTCCCTGTCCAGTAACTGCCAAGGAGGAGGATAAAGAAAGCCTCTCTACCCAACATGACTTCTCTGAGAAAACCAGCAGGCCAGGTGTAAGAGAGCCTGTAGCACCATGGGATTTTGGCTCAGCACACTTTCACCAATAAACCAAACCTAAAAGAGAGAGGCTGGAGAGAGAACCCACCCACAGCCCTTCTCCAGCATCCTATCCCCTGCCCTGACAGTCAGAGACTCCTCGAGGCCCTGCCAGGACGGGGCAGGGCAGTGCCCCCCAGGAGTGTGCCTGTGGCAAGTCTGGGCTTGCAGAGGGGACACAGTACAGTGATAAAGACTGAGAATTAGAGAAGGAGGAAGTGTGAATGGTTGTACTAGGAGCTTCATCCCATCCATCACTAGGAAACTGAGGACAGGCAGGCCTTGAGACACAGAAGAAAGGAGACACTGGCTGTAGAGGGAAGGAAAGGGCTGGATGACAACCTTGAGGCCATGTGAGGCCTTCCATGCTGGGCAGACATAAGTCTCCAAGGGCCACACTCAGCAGTAGTGACAGCCACGATGCACAGCAGCTATTTCTTCAAGGTTTGGCTCTTTGAGGAATTTCCCATAATGTTACTCCACTAGAGACCCTAAGAAGCTGATCTCAGGAGGGACTAAGGTCCTGTGAGCCTTGAAAACCCTGCGCTGAGTTTGCCATGTGCTAGCCAGTACCCACTTTTACCTTCCCACCAACCCCTACCCTGAGCCCATGCCCACTCCATCTCAGGAGTCTCTCCGCTCAGACACTTCACCCTCTCTGCTTCTTGTGATTTCAACTAGCTATTTTTATTTTAAGGATTTTCTCCAGCTGGGTACCAGTGGCTTAGGCCTATAATTTTAGCTACTCAAAAGGCTGAGATATGAAGATCATAGTGCAAAGCCAGCCCAGGCAAGAAAATATGTGACCCTCTTATCTAAGCAGCAAAGAAAAAACAAACAGAAGTGAAGCTGTGGCTCAAGTGGTAAAGCACCAGCCTTGAGTGAAAAAGCTAAGAGACAGTACTAAGTCTCTGAGTGAAAGCCCCAGTACCAGTACACACACATTCGACCACTTCCCCCCACCCTCAAAAAAGGATTTTCTTCTGCTATGCATCAGAGAAAATGTGAGAGCAATTCACTATTACAGAACCTTCTAGAGGGCTGCCCAGAGGTCTCCTTACTGGGTCCCCAGCTTCCCTGTGGAGTAATCAGGGCCAGGCCCACTTTCCCCTCCAGCCCTACCACAGATAGTCACAGAACCCTCCTAGGCCATGGTGCCAGTGCAGGCTGGACAGGATGCTAGCCTGGCCTGGGGACCAGGACCCCACCCAACTTTCTTTAGAACCTACTTCTTGGTCTTCACTCTGGTGTCCTGAGCCCCCTAGATGAGGAAGATGAGACCCCTCCCGGTGCAGCAATCAGGGGTCTCCCGGGACCCTGGCTTAGCAGAAGCCTCTCCAGACTCTCCTTAAAGAGAGGGACAACTATGCACTATCCACAGTACAGGCAAATCAAGTGGCCACCTAACGTTACTTTCTATCTTTTTCTCTAACAATAGGGTAGTAGATAGTGTGTGGGGCACATGGCACATGAGGAGTAACCACGAGTGGGTATGGATTTCTTTTAGGGATGGTGGGAATACTCTGGAATTAAATATTGGTGATTGTCTACGAATACCGTGTATCTTGAAAACCCACTGAACTCTACTAAATCATGAAGTTTCTATTCATTTTATCTCAATTGACAAAGAGACAGCTTGGGAAAATGAGCCAGGCAGGTAGAAGGAACCCTGGGCAGCCAAGTGCTGAGTAGCCTGGCCATGGTGAGGAAGCATTTCCTGTCTGAGTGAATCCACACAGCCTTGGTTTTGAATTTGCAGTGCTGGGCCAGTGGAGAAGAGTACTTGAGTGCTGGATGTCCTCCCGTGGCCAGGCCTGAGGCTCCTGACCCAGTGAAGAAGTTTGTCACCCAACTGCGTCAGGCCTGGGTGTAGAGTGGGGAGGGCAGGGAAGGCAGCCTGGCTGGGAGGACTGGCAGCCGCAGGCCATTCTCACTGGTTTCCTGTCTGCCTTCTCTTCTTCCACAGCTCCTGCAGTCTCAGGATGTGAAGGAAGATGCTGTGCTCTGCTGCTCTATGGAGGTAAGCGTGGAGTGGGGGGGGGGGGCCACGGGCGATAAGAAAGACCGTTCACATATCCCAACCTCAATTCTTTCAGTCTCTCACATGCCACAGCTGAGAGGTACAGGGTGGGCATGGGGCTTGGCGCATCCTCCAACCCAGGGGAAATATGAAGAGGGCTGGTGGGGGATGGCTTCACGAGTGGCTGTAGACTTCTGCGCCCTGAGTTGGCCCCTAAACCAAGCAGACACTGACAGTGACAGTAGCTAGCCACTGGCTGGGGAGAGAGAAGACTGGTCCACTAAACAGACAGACATAGGACTGTCACAGCCTGTGTCCCCCGTCTCCAAGACTGCCTGCCCTTTGGATGAGGCATGCCACTACATAACACCACACTAGGGACTTGCTCGCTCACATGACCCACTGCTCTCAAATACTTTCGTTGTCTGGTGGTGGGGAAAGGTACCTTGATTGAATCTCCCATGTGGGCTCAGATTCTTTAGGAGCCACCACTCCTGGTCCCAGTCCTGATCCCTCTTCCTTTGGGATCTACCTTCAGAGGATGGCTCTGCTGGGCCTTGGAGCTTACTCCTGCCGTCTGCAAACAGCCCAGAGTCACTCAGCCCCCGAAGTGGAGCCCAGCATAAGGACACAACCTGTCCCCACCAACAGCTCACCCCTCAGGCGGCTCCCTCCAGCCTGCAAAGGCCACACCTGAGGAGCTTGAAGGCCAGAAGCAGCAGCAGCCCAGACAGTAGGCTGAGCTCCATACGACAGTCCCGAAATTTATGTTCTAGGCTCCAGTTGGGAATGTACATGGTGCTTGAGAAAAAATCAGCATAGTCCCTACCCTCTGACAGCTTTCAGGCTGGCTAGAGGTAGATCACACGTGTGCACATGCATGTGCACACACACACACAGTGTATGAAGTAAGTGTAGATGCAGAGCACACATTCAGAGAAGTCAATGAAGAGAGGTCAGAGTTGACCCTAAGGTCAAGGAGCCTTTCTGGAAAAGATGAAGCTTGAAAGGCAAGGGACCAGGCTGGGGTGGGGGGGTTCCTGGGGAGCACCTGTAGGGACTGTGGGCAGGGAGGGCACTGATCCAGAAAGATGGAGGCTCCTCTTTCCTAAGGGGCTTTTCAAGATTATTGGGGCTCTCAGGATTTCCCAGCTGGAGCTCTGCCCCAGTTCCTATTTCTTCCCCCCTTTTGTCAAAAGAGTAGCAGAGGCCAGTTCTTGGGCTGGGAGGTGGGGTTGATTGGGGCCAGAGAGAAGGGCAGAGAGAAATAGGAGAGTTCATCCTGCTCTCGGGTTCCACACGGACACATGCAGGTAATAATGACTAAGCTTGTTTCCAGAGACACCCTGGCAAGTGAAAATTAACACGGTGCTACAGGATCACCCAAGGGAGCCAACCTTGGGGCCACATGAGGGTGTGGGTGTAGTCAGGGAAGGCTTCCTGTAGGAAGGGAGGTTCTGGGGTGGGAGGAAGAGGAGGCATGTTCCTAGTGAGGGCACTTTCTGGCCTGGACAGCAGGCAATAGTCTGCTTCCTCTTCTGCTTGCCAGCAGATGGTTGTTAAATGTGGAATCTCACAGTGGGTTATTCCTGCCTGGGCTTGCATGTCCCTGGGACAATCCACATATTTCTTGTCCTTGTCCCCAGTCCACCTAACCAAGGTAGCCAGGGAGGACATCATGGGGCCCAAACCCTGTCCTAAGTGTGTTTGTCTGCCCACAGCTTCAGAGTACAGGCCGGCTGCTGGAGGAGCAGCTGCCTGAGATGATGACGGAGCTCCTGGCCAGCGCCCGAGATAAGATGCTATGCCCCTCAGAGTCCATGCTGACTCGATCCCTGCTCCTGGAGGTCATCGAGCTCCACGCCAACAGCTGGAACCCTCTGACGCCCCCCATCACGCAGTACTACAACAGAACCATCCAGAAACTGACAGCCTGACAGCCAGGGGGCCTGGCGGGCAGCCCACGGGCAGCTGGGGCCCTGGTATGCAGGGCCAGATGGACATGCGGGAGGACAGGGGTGGCCCTGGCGAGAGGTAGAGCTGGACAGGAAGGCAGGCAGAGTCTGTGGCCAGTCTGGAGCCAGCCAGGAGAGGGATCAAATCCCTAAGACGAGCCTCTCCTCCCACCCCCACCCCCCCCCCCCCCCACCCCCCAAAAAACCCCTAGCCCCAGCATGCAGCCACTCTCACCAATAAGGGAAGCATGTGTCTTTGTCGCGGTGACCCTCCCTCCCACCCCCTCCATCCACCCCACCCCCTGCCGCGCTTTGTGGGAGGGACCTCATCTCTGCCGCCCCCCCCATCCCCAGCAGCCCCCTACACCGGCCACAGCATGGGTCAGCAAGGACCTCAGAAGGCTGAAAAAGTGGGTCGAGACTGGCTCGCATTGTTCCTGCGTGCTGTCAGCCCAAGTCGCCAACTGGCAGCGGGCGACATGTAGCAGATGTCCTGGAGGACAAAGGCAGGCACGGTCCCCACCAGCCGCCGTAATTGATGGCCTTTGTCAGGCACAGTGGAGCTGTGGAGAGGCAGTTTTTCTCCAACCTTCTCAATCCACCCTCCCCACTTCAATTCCCCCAGCCCCAGGCCTTGGGGGTCGGGGGCGGGGCACAGGGGGGGGAACTGGAGGGGCGGCAGCAGGGAGGGGAACTGGAGCCCGCTACTCAGCTTGCCCCCTTTTCTTTTATTGTGTTTTATTTTTCAAAAGTCGGTAACTTTGAAGTCTCTTCTCTCAATGAAAATGCCTTGGATGTGATCACACAGCAGGGCCCCAGAGGACTCCCTGATTAGTGGGAGAGCACCCCCACACACACCGCCCTTGCAAGGACTCTAGCCACAGACAGCTTGCCAGTAGCCAATTAGGGTAATTAGAAACTTCTGCCCCGGTGGGGGTCCCTCGTTCTCCACACACACACACACACACACACTACAATCCAGTGTTCCTGGCCCCGGGCTGGCAGCGCCTCTCCCTTCCTATGCCAGTGGCCAGGTCTCAAAGGGCTGATACTACTGTCACCTCTGGACTGTGTGAGACCCAGTCCTGGCCCTTGGGGCCTTGTGACAAACTGAGCCCAGAAGAAGGCTGGCAAATTAAAACCAAAATGCAAGTCACGTCCTAAACTGCTCTGGGTGAGGGAGATTAGGATAAAAGGTGGCTGGCTCCTGAGGACATGGAGATCTCCCAGGCAGAACCGAGAAGCCCAGCCTGCTAGAAAGCAGAGAGATCGTCAAGTCATTACCTGACTGGGCCACCAAGGGAAGCTTTCTAAGCTAGAAGGAGACCCTGGTCTCCTTCTTGGGAGACCCCAGTCTTCAGGAACAGCCCCTTCTATCTAGAGGAAGATAAGGCTGGGCATCAGTGGCTCGTGCCTGTCATCCTAGCTAGTCAGGAGGCTGAGATCTGAGGATCACAGTTTGAAGGCAGGTCAAGCAGAAAAGTCCGTGAGACTCTTATCTCCAATAAACTACTCAGAAAAAGCCAGAAGTGGGGCTGTGGCTCACATGGTAGAGCACTAGCCTTGAGCAACAAGAGGCTCAGGGACAGTGCCCAGAGTTCAAGCCTCAGGACTGGCAAAAAAAAAAAAAAAAAAGTAGGGAGAGAGGAGGATAAGGTCAGGTCTGGGAGGCTGACTTCAGGATGGTGACTGATAACAGCCCCGCTAGAGCCCACACTTCAGTGAAGCCCCCAGCAAAAGTCTCTGAGCCCTGCAGCTTCCTAATTTGCTTCTTTATGGAGGCTCCTGGCTGGAAGTAGAGTGGGAAGGCTAGGAGGGCAGGCAGGAGGAGGGGGTCCCCTAATTCTCCCTGGCTTTCTCTGCCGAACCCTACCTCCAGTCTCAGGAGAGAACTTGTACCAGTTCCCAAAAAGAGCCTGAGGATAGCTGTTGGAGACAATGCATAGAGGGCAGAAGGTCCCTGAAACAGGTCAATGGCTTGTGCCAAGAGGCACACACTGCCCGCAGCCCCTGCCCCCGCCTCCCAGCCCTCCTCTAGGTTTCTCAAGCTGCTTCTTGCACCTGCCCTTAGGCCCAGCCTGGGGCCCAGGGACACCACCAGCCCCAAAGCGCCTTGAGGGAAGAGCTGGGCTGCTGATGATGGCAGGATGTTCTGAGAGGGCACCAGGGAAATCAGACAACCCTGCCAGGCAAGCAACTGCTCCATTTAGTCTCTGAGGGCCACACCTGTGCCCAGAGGAGCCTGCTCCCCAAGAGACTGAGGGTTTGTGTGTTAAGAAGGAAGTAGGGGCCTGAAGAAGAAAGAGAACTGAGAGTGAGAGCCCAGGTCCTGGAAGAAAGAGAACTGAGAGTGAGAGCCCAGGTCCTGGAAGAAAGAGAACTGAGAGTGAGAGCCCAGGTCCTGGAAGAAACAGGAGTGTGAGTTTTCCTAGATCCCTCATTGGGGTCCCAGAGCAAGCTAAATGCTATGTGAGGGGCTGGTGGCCCCCATGACCACAGACACGGGGTGTCATTGTGGACACTATGGGCCTAATGCACCTCCCTCCTAATGGCCCGTTAGGGGGTGTGGCCTTAGGGCCAGCCCCTCCATAGTCATGGGGACCAGTGTGAAGAAGTGCGATATAAATATGTACACATATATAAATATATTTTTAATTACGTGTCGTGTCCTGTTGGCTCCAGCCATACGGTTTTCCTAGTGTGTCCTGTTGCTTGAAAACTTCTTCTGGGCCACCCGAATGACACTACTTCCGCCCTGGTTTTGTAAATAATGTCACTGCTGCTCTTTTCAGACCTGGAAAACTTTTTTTTTTAATGTTTTGAAACGAGTAAAACTGAAAATGTAAGCATCTAGGGCAGCTTCGGACAGGAACTGGGGGAAGAAATGGGTTCAGAAGGAAGGGCCTGTCAAAGTCAGCCTGCGAAGGTGTCTGGCAAGAGGCAGAGCTGGCTGTTGTGTCTGAGCGGCTGCCTGGGTGCGCGGCAGAGGCTCCAGCCGCCATCTGATCTTGCTCCTCCCCTGTCTCCTTTCGGGGTCACTGTTAGTCACTGTTTTCCTCTCTGGCGGCCTGCTTGCCACTGTCCTGCTCCTTACGGCCTGGTGGCTTTGCTTACGCTGTGGAACTGTCACCCCCCAATCGGGCCACCATTCTCCCCTGGAGAAAGCCAAGAGCCTCCACTTTCCTTGGTAGGAAACAGGGACCTCCAAACCAAGCTTCATCCCGTCATCTTTCATTAACCAGTCTGTAAGCCTTTATAGTTTGGGGACTGTCCTGTCCATCTGTGTAAATGTAAATGTTGACCTAGTCTGTATTTATTATAATTTTTATTTTATTGTATGTCCTCTGCGGGATGGGGGATGGGAACTGAACCGTGGATTCCCACCCCAGCCAGGCAGCAGCGGCAGGAGAGCAGGCCCAGACAGCCTGGGGCGCCAAGAGAAGCAGCCCCCTGGGGCCACCCCAGACAGCGGCCTCCACGAAGCCACGTCCCAGTCTGTTATCTGGCATCAGAAGCCAGCCAGTGTTCCTTGTCCCAGACACTCAGGCCTGCCTATGGCATGGTGACCCTTAGCTGCCGGACGCTGTGTTGAGAAACCTCTGGCTGAGCCTCTGAGGGAGGCAATCAGTCGGAGAGCAGACAGCTGTCCTCAGCGTGGGACACTTGCACGGCAGGGCTGGTGACTCACCTGAGCCAGCTGTGAGCCAGCTGCCAGGACCTGCCTCGCCGGAGCAGGGATCTGAGGCTTCATGCTAAAGCTGCAGGCGAGTCCTGCCCACGCCACCACCTTCCCTCCATCAGTTTGTCCTGCTTTCCAGCTGAACCCAAAGTACAAGTGGGTTTAAAAAATAATAAAAACAATGCCCAAAAAAACATCACCTATGCCCTGAATCTGTATTCTTTGTGCGATCGGCAAGCTGGGGTGGGAAGGGGTCTTGAGGAGCCCTGCTCAGCCAGTGCTCTGATGGGAAGGGTCCCCACAGAGTGCCTGCCATGGGGAGCAGGGACAGGCGCTGGGGCCTAGCTAGGGTGGCTGGAGAAATCACCTTTGCTATGACAGCCTTGTTTTTCAGGACATATAGCCACCCCCACAGCTGCCTTGGTCCAGGAAAGGCTCCCACCCATTCTCAGTGATGCATGGTAGGAAGGCTGAGAGTTGAGCACAGCCACTGCCAAAAGTGATCAGCAAGTCCGTGTCCAGTCTCACTGGGTCAAATTAGTCTTTCACCAAAGGGTCCCAAAAGGGCCCAGTGATTTACTTTCCTGTGATGACATGTCCCTTGTTTTGTACAGGCAGTGAGGACACTGCCTCCTGGTAACAGGTCCCCTTGGGGTATTCTTTCAGGCTAGACCTGCCAGGCTTTTGGCTCCACTGGTGACAGGTGACCAGAGCATCCACCTGAAGTGGACATGTGGACAATCAGCCATTGTCATGACCTTGTAAGGAGACAGCCTAAGTAGACAGATTAGTAAAGGGAAATTATGTTGATGTTTTAAAAAACTGGGATATATTAGTTGTACAAGAGGGTTTTATTGTGACAGTTGCACACATGTATATAATGTATGTCCATCAGCCTCACCTCCTCTATCACTGTCCTCTTCCCCTTCCCCCTTCTTATGACAGTCCAACAGATATTATCTTCCTACGTGCAAATAGAGGGCCCATATTCATCCTCATTCATCCTGTTCCATAGCCTTCCCCAGGCCTGCCTCTACCCATCCCACTCCCAATACAAACCTCTTTTACGTTTTTGTTTTTGTTTTTTACATCAGGCATGGAGCTTGAACTCAGGGCCTGGGCACTATCCCTGAGCACTTTGTGCTTGAGGCAAGCACTCTACTACTTGGAGCCACAGCGCCACATCTGATTTTCTGGTGGTTAATTGGAGATAAGAGTCTCACAGACTTTCCTGCCTGGGCTGGCTTTAAACTGCAATCTTCAGATCTCAGCCTCCTGAGTAGCTAGGATTACAGACATGAGCCACTGGCACCCAGCTACCTTTTATTTTATTTTATTTTATGTTGTGCCCGTCCTGGTGTTTGAATGCAGGATCTGGGTGCTGTCCCTTTTTTGTTTGTTTTTATTTTGTTCAAGGCTAGCATTCTACCACTTGAGCCACAACTCTACTTTTGGCTTTTTGATGATTCATTGGAGATAAGACTCTTATGGACTTTCCTGCC